CCTGCTGAAGCTCTCCTTCCAGACCGTATGTGCACAGCGCACGGCTGTCGACACCAGCTACCTAATTGAGGCTCTCTCCACTGTCTTGAATTGACACAGAAGGTGTTTTGCCTTTGATGAGATACACAAGTTGAAATGCCAAGTTGCTATTTTTCTACTTTTTGGGTTTTTTGAGGAGAACAATAGCTGGTTATTTTTATGGCCAGTCGTATTACGCAGCAGAAAGACAAGAGAAGCGTGAGCTATGCTCATGCTTTAGGATCCCACCAAAGGTCGGGAAGCATTTAATCTGTCCTATCCAGCAGCAGAGCTCATTTGTCTTATAATATGCTTCCCTCCTTGCTCAGAAGCAACATTTGATTTTTCTAGCGCGGAAGGCAAGCTGCCGGACTGACGCACAGCAATGGGATCGGGGAGGGCAGCTTCCTTGATAGGCCACATCAGCTCCAGAAATGCTGAACCCCTTTCTGCCTGGGTGGCGTGGGCTCCCCATGGTAAAGGACAAGCAGCCTGGGAAGAAGAATAGTTGGAAAATGTGGCTTGCAAAAAGGGAAGCCTTTTCCAAATATATGATTTGCAGACCGGTTGCTCCCACCCCACCTCCAGAAGCCTTCTCAGTTTGAGCTCAGTGGAACTTCAGCTTGTCAAGAAATACACCCCGTCGCCTGTTCAGGGAAATCTCTTCATCCCTTGCATCCACATCTCTGCTTCCCATCGCGGAAAGCGAGGGCTCGGCCGCAGCTGATGCCAGGCACGGCGCAGAGCTAGCGCGCGCGGGAAGGGGCTCACCCGTCCCAGCAGCAGCACGAGCCCTCGCTTTAGCTTCTGCCCTCTGCGTTATGCCTTGATGCCCGGGTACCACACAAACACAGTCATTGTGCCACGTTCCCCACTTCCTCCTTCAGCTCGTCTGCTCGTTTGCAGCCATACGCAGTGAATCCCTCTCACCTGTGCTCTTCAGAACCCTCCTGAGACTGCCGGACAGGCGGGCAGTCTGCTTCTAGGTGCTGTAGCGTTACTGCACCCAAAGTCAGTGAGATCAAAGGTTACGGGACTGCGTCAGCTGAGCCAAGGAGCTGTTCAACAGCAGCGGGATCGGGCCTTACACCCGTTCTCTCCTGTCAGTTAAAATTAATGTCTGAATCTCGGGTCCAGAGTCTGTGGTGGGTAAGAAAGACAGGAGCACAGCTTGGGGGTCTGCGAGTTTGCCAGAAGACAGGTGTCTCACCTGTGGAGCTGCGGTCAGAATATGCCTACGGAAGAACATAACTGGGCAATTCTTTTTGTCTGTCTCAGAATAAATTCTTCACAGATGAGTTCCTTCCTTCTCTAGCTGGCAAAACACTCCTTGGCATGCAATACTGCGTGCTTCGCGGTCCAGGGGTGCAGAGCACACTGTGTGTTAAGGATTGCAGTGATTCATGTTGTTTTTCCCTCCCATTAAGCTACTGAGCAGATTCAGAGCGGATGTCTCTCTTAAAGGACAGTGTGGGATTGTGGTGCATCTGCTACGGCAGCGCCAAGAGAGCAGGAGCCCGGGACTCCTCAGCGCGCTACAGAGCTGCTTCCCTGAGCGTAGCCTCCTATTTGCAGCCTCAGGTTTTCCATCCCGGTCCCGTCACAGCCTCTTATCCCTCCCACTCCAGGTACAGAGCAGACCAAGCAGATTGTCTTTGCTCCCAGCACGGAGCCGGCCTTTGTCACCGTCCCCCAGAACAGCTTTGGGGAGCCCTTCGTACTCAACCCCAACACTTGGTCTCTGGTTGTTGAAGCAGAGGGTGTGCTGCTGGTAAGGACCGGCCCCCGTGCTCCATCCACCACAGGGGGCTTCAGCAGCTCCCCCCGGGGGCGAGTGTCCCAAACGTAACCAACTCTCCCGTCTCTCTTCCTAGGACTATCTGGTTTTGCTACCCAGCTCATACTATGAAGCTCCGATACTGCAGCTAAAGGTCACGGAGCCATGTACCTACCAGCCAGCCCCTGAACAAGCCACCCAGAAGTAAGGATCTCCACATCTTTGTGCTGTGTGGGACCTACTCAGCTCCTTTTGTCCCGGGGTTAAGAAATATATACAGTCCACACTCTGAGAGGGTCTGGATGTAGTAAAACTGCTTAATGGAGCACTTTGGCATGGCTGGTAAAGCCTGCACCAACACATGGATCTCCTCATGAATGGCACAGTCAGTCTGGGTGTTCTCATGGACCCTGGAGGGCCAGCTCACCCAGTAAGACCATAGCCCTCTCCTCTGCTAGGCTGCGTTCCCAGTGCTGGGTTGGACGTCAGTCAGCAGCCCCGGAAAATGGCGACAATGAGTCTTGCTGGACTATTTAAAATGAATGAGCAGAGTCTGGTAGCACTTAGAGCATCTCAGCGCATCTGTTTGTGCTGCCAGGACCTCTCTGTCCATGGTGGCAGGAAGGCTGGTTGGGTTCTGGACACCAGTTGTCCTCTCCACTATAGCAGTGGTCCCCAGGATAAAGCACGTTGCGAGGGGAGAAGCTTCTTTTTGTGACTGCCCTCGCTGGTCCTGTAGTAGACAATCTCCTGCCCCGCACTAACCAGACGTGCTCCTTTGAGCAGCGGAACCCTCCTGTTGGACCAAAGCCTTTTGCTAGTTTTGCTGGGATCAGGCTGCACGGGTGCTCGTGACTCTTAGCGTCATCATGTAACAACCGGACTTCGCAATGTTTTTTTCTTAATGCTTTTAGCTGCCTCTTGTACAAGTACCTGTCTGTGGATGGCTTCCCTGCTGTGTCAGGGCTGGACGCGGTGTGCAGGCTGGACAACCGCTTACCCAGAGTGTGTCCCACCGAGCAGCTCACCCCCTCCCATCCTCGGATGGCGACGTGCAGCGGCAGTGATGTGAGTGGCACTTCTGTTTCATCCCTCGCGTGGGCTCCGCGGCACTCATCCCTCTGCTCCCACCCTCTGGTGCTTTACATACACCTGGGCAGGTTACCGAAAGGGCTTTTCACCCACGTACACCCCACTGTTGCCCCCTCAGTCTTGCAGCTTGCATGCCCTGGTGTTCAAGGCACCCGAAAGCAGTGTCTCGCGTGCAAAGGGCTCGCAAGGACACGCGTGGTACGTGGTAAGAGGTGGCCTGTTGTCCCCTCAGCTGCAGAGGAGGCCGGTTTGTAGCACGGGCGTCCTGCATTCACTCACTACGGGGAGTGGGATGGGAGAGCCCCGCTCAGTCGTCTCTCTGTCCTCCAGGTGGAAGTCCAGCTGGCCCTGCCTGTTGCCCAGCCTGGGAAATACGTGCTGGTGGTGGAGTACGCCAACACCAACGCTTTGCAGACAGTGGGTGTTGCTGTGAGCTCGCCGCACTTAGCCATGCAGCAGGGCACGTTCATCTTCTACCCGTGTGTCTACAGGTACGGTCATCTCTGAAAAGGAGAAGGGGTTCAGTCCTCCTCTGACGTGGCACGGACAGATCCCTCCCTAGTTGAGGTTTTTCTGCTTTATCGCATGAACAAAGCGATGCCTCAGCTTTGTACATCTGCGCTGTCTATGTCCAAGCTCGTTCTAGCTGGACATGGATTTTAGCGATTAGCCGTCCCTGGGAAATACATACCTGTGCCAACATAGTCCTCTAATGCCTCTGCCAGGAGCTTATCTGTTGCTTCCATTTCCAGCTGGGTAGGTTGGTAGGAGCCCTGGTTTAGGGAATGTCCTACAGGCAGGTTTATTGAAGCTGTTGGTGCAGTCAAACCCTGCCCCTGACTGTAGAAGTGTCTGACTTCAGACTGCAACCTTTGCAATAGGAAACAAATGTCTGGGGTGTCCTTGGGAAACTTCACTCCGATGACTTGCCAGAAAAGGCATCAAAAGATTTACAGGGACTTTGTATAAATACCTTCAGGACATATAGTTGGCAAGACAAGAAATGGGTCGTGACCCAGCTCAAGGCTGGCTTCAAAATCTGTGTTTCTCTTACAGTTTCCTTTGTCGAGGGATTGCTGTAGATTCCCAGAGCCGCATGGCAACTTTTGAACTGACATCAGAGGCCACCATTCAGTTCACCTCTGATCTGGCCGACTTCTTCCTGGTAAGGCTCCCTGCAAGGGCAGCTCTGGTGGCAGGTTGCAAGGAGGAAAGGCAGGAGCGATACCGAGCCTGGAGAAGGCTTTTCTAGTCCTGTCGGGCCCGGATACTAGATCTTAGGTCTGTGTCATGAGCAGTCCAGGGTGGAGAATGTGGTCGGTGGCGTGTTTTGAAGTAGATCATGGGACTGGGTTTGGGGAGACGATGGGGAGAAGAAGCTGCTCTTTGCAGAGGGAGCTCTGCAGCAGCGTGGCAGCGCCTCTTCCTGGCTTACCTTGAAGGCATTCACAGCTGCTTGGCTAAGAATAGAAGAATCCCATAAATATGTGGGAGTCCTATAATGCCTTAGCGCTTGTGCCAAGGAAGAAGGGGCAGTAGACAGAGGTGTGACCTGCCGTGCGTTAGCTGAAGTGTCTGATAAGGAGGTGCTTAGTGTGGTCAGCCTGATCGCTGGTGGGCACAAGAACTGCGGTAGGCTCCCAGCGGCAGAGGCTCTCGTCTAACCGGGTGTCTCTCTCTTTCGCGTGTGGCAGCACAAAGTGTACCTCATACCCGCTGCACAGTTCACCATGGAGTTCATCGAGCCGAAGGTGCATTGCATCAGCGTCCACGGCACGTTCTCATCCAACAGGTAAGAGTCTCGGGTCCCTCGGGGTTTTAGCGTGAATGTGGCTCTTTCCAAAAGCAGTTGCTTCCCTCGCTTCCCTCGGGTTTGGAGCCTTTTCAGTTCTTGACACAGCAGAAAGAAACCGGTGGCTGAGGGGAAGCGCCTTGCCCGTGTCCAGCGAGCAGGCAGCGCCGGAGGAAGGGCTGGAGGTCGGGCTGCTGGTCCTTCAGCTGAACACCACACTGCCTCCCGTGGCAGACACTCGCTCAAGTGTCATCCAGAATAGGCTTTCCTGTGCTTGCTCACGCACAGCAGGAGACGCTCACTGTGTCCGAATGGTTGACACCGCTTTGATTAAATATTTGCACAGGAATTAGCCTGTGGAAGGTTCCTGTTCTTCCTGCGGAGCCCGTGTCCCGGAGCACCAGGGGCCCTGGTAGAAAGCTCTCCCTCAGCAGGCATACTTCATCATCTGCCAGGTCTTACAGGGCGTGCTTCTCCTCCCGGGACACCCAGAGCCTCTCCCTTTGCTCGTGGGACATCCTTACATCCCCTTTTCTCCTTGTTTTGCAGCAGCTCCTGTGTTCCCTCGAGGTTCCTGAAGCTTTCTCAGTCGATCGTTTTGGAGGGGGGTCAGGCTCTGCCCATCTCCCCCGATGTCCCCCTGGCTCAGGCTGTTCACGTGGCTCCGGTCGGGGTCCCGCTGGAGCCTGCACCTCGGCCTCCCACGGCGGTGGACCCCGCTGCGGAGCTCATCCTCCTGCAGCCACCCCAGGTAGTGGCACGGCTGTGGGTTGGGCTGGTTTGCTGGTGCTGTGACACGGGTCACCTGGGGCACGGAGAAGTCTTCCTTCTCTATCGAGTAGCTTTAGCAATTAGCAATTTAGCATTTTCAGAATTCAATCTGGACTTTAAACTTGTCCCTGAACCTGTCATTCCCCTGGACTCTCCTGTCTTAGCTCCATCCAGCCCCGCTTGGCTCTCTGGGCTCCCAGGGAAAGCTTTGCAGGTGGCACCGTCACAGGGGGGAGTGTGGAGTCATGGGGGGGTTGATTCACCAAAAGTCTCAAGACCTGACGGTTGTGCAACAAAAGCACAATTTGTGCAATAATAAAAAAATATCCCAGTTGTGAGTGCAGGCGTCAGATATGGTTTTTTGTCTCTTTGCTCTCCTGTTTTGGGCCAGGCTGCTGTTGTGTTTAACAGTCGGATCCAGACCCTGGGACGTTACGCGTTCATCCTCCACTACTACCAGCCCAACCATCCCACCTTCCCCGTGGAAGTGTTAATCAACGGAGGGCGCATCTGGCAAGGTGAGAAGAGCAGGGACCTGAGGGAAGCTGCTGGCAGGCAGAAGCCTTGGAATGGGCGCCAGAGGATAACTGTGGGTTCACTGGGGAGTGCAAAGATGAAACGGGACTGACTTACCTGTTCTGGACCGGGAGGGTGTGATGGGGACTGCAAGGGAAACGTGGGACCAATAGGTTTGTTGTCGTTTCAGGTCAGACCACTGCTACTTTCTGCCCACATGGCTACGGGTGCCGGAGCCTGGTAGCGTCCGAGGACCAGATCGTCCTGGATGTTACCGATAATGATCTGACTGTGGTTGTTCGAGTGCCAGAGGGCAAGCAGCTGTGGCTGGTGAGCTTCTCGCCGGGACATGCTAGACCAGGCTCCGGCCACATGGCTCCAGCAGGACTGGAGTTTGTCCCTGAGGATTTTTGTCACTGTGTGACCACAGGAATGTTTCCCACCATCATTCAGTTTCTGAACTGCCCTAGAAAGTTGCAGTCTCCAGCCTTAGTGGTGTAGAATTGAGGGCGGAATTCAGACAGCACCTGCATATGACAGTTATCCTTCACTGTGTGGTCTTGATACCAACCCAAGGCAGAAATTGGAGCTGTTGCTTCGCATACGTAGCTTGTGACAATCCAGAATAAGCCTTATTCCTGCCCCGGCAATATTTTGCACCTGCAGAGCGTTGTCCAGGCAGGTCTCATCGTGGGAACAGGTAGCCCTGGTTATTCTCGGGCAACAGGACTAGAAGATTGACTGAAATTTGGATAAATGGCAGAAAGACAGAATTGGAACCCAAGTGCCTTTGGGTCTAGAAGTTTAAGATGACAGGGACTGCCTGCCTCTCTGCTGAAGCACGGCCAGTGCTGCCCCACTGGAGTATTCTGCCTTTTTTCACTCCAGTCAATTTGGGCTACTCCTCATGTGGAGCATTAGATTAGGTGCAACCTGATGGACAGACCCCAGTAGAGAGGTGGCCCCTGGTCTTTCCGCTACTTGGGCACTTTGTGTTATGTTCTGTCCCAGCAAGGGGTGAGCTGATGAGAAGTTAAAGGTGCATTTGGACTTATCGGTGAGCTCATTTTGGACTGCGTCTGTCTGGCTCAGCTGAGGAGCCTGGCTCACCCATCTTGTCCTTGCTTTGCAGGATTACATCCTTGTGGTGCCCGAGGACAGCTACAGCTCTCAGTACCTGCAGGAGGAACCCCTGGACAAGTCCTATGATTTCATCAGCAGCTGTGGCATCAACAGCTTCTACATCAAGTGAGACCCTTGGCTTTGGGTGGTGGCTCTGCTGTCCACAGGCTGCACACCCCTAGGGAGCAAAAACCCATTCCCTTCATGAGACCCCACCGGGAGTACTGCCTCCAGCTCTGGAGCCCTCAACATAGGAAAGCCATGGACCTGTTGGAGCGGGACCAGAGGTGGCCACAGAGATGCTGCGAGGGCTGGAGAACCTCTGCTGGGAGGACAGGCTGGGAGAGTTGGGGGGGTTCAGCCTGGAGAAGAGAAGGCGAAAAAGGGGAGACCTCAGAGCCCCTTCCAGTGCCTAAAGGGGCTCCAGGAGAGCTGGGGGGGGACTTTTGACAAGGGCATGGAGTGATAGGATGAGGGGGAATGGCTTCAGACTGGGAGAGGGGAGATTGAGATGAGATCTGAGGAAGAAATGTTTCCCTGTGCGGGTGGTGAGCCCCTGGGGCAGGTTGCCCCGAGGAGCTGTGGCTGCCCCATCCCTGGAGGTGTTCAAGGCCAGGTTGGACGGGGCTTGGAGCAACCTGGGCTGGGGGGAGGTGTCCCTGCCCAGGGCAGGGGGGTGGAACGAGATGGTCTTCAAGGTCCCTTCCAACCTAAACCATTCTATGAGTCTATGTGTGGCAGGGGAAGGATCTGATTAAGGCTTTCCTTATTTAATGACCAAACCTATGGGTATTTGGGGAATCTCAGTGTCACGGGGCTCTCCCTCCCACTCAGTCAGTACCCATTGCTGCAGGAGATCCTGCTGGATTTTGGGGAGATGAGGAGGCTGGGAGGGTGTGCGGCACGGTGACTTCTGCCTTCCCCTGCAGCCCCAGCACATCGTCGAGGTTCTGCCGCGACTCTGCCATCTCGCTCTCCCTCTTCTACAACAACGGGGCGCAGCCCTGCCGGTGCCACGAGGCCGGGGCGCGGGGCAGCCAGTGCGAGCCCTTCGGCGGGCAGTGTCCCTGCAAGTCCAACGTCATCGGGCGAGAGTGCTCCCGCTGTGCCACCGGCTACTGGGGCTTCCCCAACTGCAGGCGTGAGTTGTCCCATCTCCCACTCTGCTTTCCCGGCACTTGCTGGTTTGCCTCTTACAGGGCTGGGATTACTGATTTGGGAAATGGCTGCGTTTTCCAGCCCTGTAGTGGCTCCGCTTGCACGGAAGCAGCGCAGCTGCCCGCAGAGCGGTTGAGCTCTGCCTCCATTGCCTCACGCCTTCCTTGGGCTGCCTGGGTCTTGCTCCCCACCAAACACCAGCCCCTTTTCTGCCCCTTCCAGCCTGCGACTGCGGGACGCGTCTCTGTGACGAGGTGACGGGGCAGTGCATCTGCCCTCCGCACACCCTGAAGCCAGAGTGTGTTGTCTGCGAGCCCCAGACCTTCGGCTGCCACCCCCTCATCGGCTGCGAGGACTGCAATTGCTCTCGGCCCGGCGTGCAGGAGCTGACGGAGCCCGGCTGCGATGTGGACAGCGGGCAGTGCAGGTGAGGGAGCCGTGTCCTGGCACCGGGCACATCTGGCAGCGTCCCTGCTCCCTGCTGGGGTGACGGGACACGTGGGCAGGCTGCGGGGAGGAAACGTGCGGGATGGGGAAACCCTCATTAACACGTGAAGCTCTGCAAGCCCGGCTGCTCCCCGGTTTCTAACGCTGCGGCTCTCGCGTCCCATCCAGGTGCAAGCCCAATATCATCGGGCGACAGTGTGACCTCTGTGCCCCCGGCTACTACCGCTACCCCGACTGCCGGCGGTGCGACTGCCACCAGGCGGGCACCGAAGCGAGCGTGTGCGACCCGGTCACGGGGCAGTGCCACTGCAAGGTCAGTCCTTTCACGCCTTCGTGCGGTGCCTCTCTCCTTGGCTCGACTCCCCTGCCCTGGCTGTGGGTGCGGGGGCTGCGGGGGCCCGGCGTGCCCGGAGGGAGCCGGGCGGGAGGAGGAGAGGGCTGTGTGCCGCAGCCCGCCTGCCCCACGTCGGGGGGGGGTTCAGAGCACCCTGAAAGATTCCTTCTCCCCATCTTTCCTGGCCACAAAGGGTTACTCTTTGCGCTGTCACTGGGGAGACGGGCAGTCTGGGTCAGCTCTGTTAACTCCTGCTCCTGCGTGACAGCAGGGTAACCCAGCCACTGCTGCGCTGCCTGCTCCAGCCCTTCGCTGGAGCCGTTCACAAGTGCTTCCTCCAGGTGAATTTAATGTTTGATGGGTGCTGCGCAAGCAAACCTGGGCAGGGACTGCTTAATCATCTTTCAGCATCACATCACGGCACTTTGATCACTCGTACAGCCGTCTCTGTCCTCCACTAAGGGCTCGTGAGAAGCTGCTGACCCTGTTGAGCTTTCCCTGTTTTCCAGGAAAATGTGGAGGGCCCGAGGTGTGACCAGTGCCGCCTGGGGACGTTTTCTTTGGATGCCAGCAACCCCAAGGGCTGCACCAAGTGTTTCTGCTTCGGTGCGACCGACCGCTGCCGCAGTGCTGAGAAGCACCGGGTTGAGGTGAGAGGGGCCAAAGGCCACCAGAGCCTGCAGTTCATTGTGTTCCCATCCGCCTGGCTCCCTGCTGCCCTCGGGTCTCTGTCCTGCATTAATCCCACCCCTCTGGAAGATACACTGTGAGGAGCATTATCTGTCTCCCAGTGCCCATCTCCCACCTTCAGCCCCTTTTTCTGGTCCCCGGGGTCTCACAGGGTGGAAAGTCATGGCACGGGGGGACTGTGCCAGGCGGGAGGCAGGGGTGGTGCTCAGCTTTCCAGTGGCTTCATCAGGATGCATGTGAGGTCGTGAGCCTGTTCTCATTCTTTCTCCTGCTCTGGGACTTGCTCTTCTGGAGCATCAGCACCCAAATACTTTCTGTAGCTCCACTAGAAGATCTACGGTTGCTCTTCCCCCACAGTTTGTCGACATGAACGGGTGGCTCTTGTCGAGCAGCGATCGCCAGGAAGTGCCGACAACCCTGAGCCTGCGGGAGCAGCTCGTCCGCGCTGATCTCAAGAACCTCCCAGATGCCTACCAGGAGCTCTACTGGGTTGCACCCAGCTCGTACCTTGGGGACCAGGTGAGAGCACAGGGGCAGCTGGACCAGCACTCATGCACATCCCTGACCCCACCACCGCGTGCCCGCTGACGCGCAGGCGTTGCTCACTCTGTGGTTGAACAACGGACAGCTCTGACTCCTCTCAGTGGGGTGGACTTGCAGCAACATATGGAATTTGTCTCTCCCTTAGGTCTCCTCCTACGGTGGGCACCTGCGCTATGAGCTGCACTCCGACCCACGGAGGGGTGACGTCTTCATTCCCATGGAGTCCCGCCCGGACGTGATCCTGAAGGTGCAGCCCGAGAAATTCCCCGGTGCCCCCTGCTACTGCGTGAGCAGGATGAGGTGGTGACTGACACCTTCCTTGCTTTTCCCAGGGAAATCAGATGAGCATCATGTTTCTGGAAGGCACCTACCCGTCCCCGGGGGAGGTACATCACGGCCGGCTGCAGCTGGTGGAGGTGAGTTCATACACACACGTGTGTACCAAGTTAAGTGCTCAGATGCTACTGAAAGGTCAGGATCAGCGTGTAGACAGAAGGGACAATTGCTTTGAGCTCAGTATTTTGGGTGCTGCCGGTTGCAGCACCTGTGAAGAGCCAGGGCCGTTATACCTGTGCAAAGGGGAAGTGAGGGCTGGGCTGGATGTTCGGGTGCCTGTGCTTCCTGCCAGTAATGTCAGGTCTTCTCCCACTAGAGTAATTTCAGGCACACGGAGACGCACAACCCTGTGTCTAGAGAGGAGCTCATGATGGTGCTGGCGAACCTGGAACAGCTGCAGATCCGGGCGCTCTTCTCCCAGCTCTCTTCATCCGTGTCCCTGCGCCGCGTGGTCCTGGAGATGGCAACAGATACAGCTACGGGCATCCGCGCCAGCAACGTGGAGCTGTGCTTTTGCCCAGCTAACTACCAGGGGGACTCCTGCCAGGTAGGGGTGAAAGGGGATGTGGTGCCTCAGGCAGAGGGGGGTCAAACAGCCGCTGTTTGGGACCTCGGCCACCTCTTGTGCTTGGTACGGGTGGCAGCCGTGGGGTTTGGATGTTTGTACAAAGCAGTGGTGCCAAAGTACCACCTTCCAAGCCGACCCCGGAGGGCTTCAGTTAAAATTACAGCTCAGGTTGTGCAGAGGAAGGAACGCCATCTCCCAGGCTTCCCCACACCAGCTCCTCTCCCGCCCCAGCACAGGGCACCTGGGAGAGGTGCGTTACCTGCATCTGCCCTCTTGGAAGAGGCATGATGGGGAAATCATTCAGGTGTTGCAGACCAAAATTAAGTGCGTACACTGCCTTGGAAGAATATGTCCTTCTGTCTGGCCGGTTATCTCCTATTGACGAGGAGCGGGAAGAAACTGCACTGAAATATCCTTGTTGTTGCTTTTAATCTTTTCTCCATCAGTACAACCCTGTGGGAATTCTGTTATGGAAATTAAATTAGACTCTTTGCTTTCCTGAATGTATTGGGCTGTTTTTCAGATCTCTTGGTTTTTTTCTGTCTCCTCAGGAATGTGCTCCAGGTTACTACAGGGACACCAAAGGGCTCTTTCTGGGAAAATGCATCCCATGTCATTGCAACGGCCACTCAGATCAGTGCCTGCCAGGCTCTGGGATATGCCTTGTAAGTAAACAGTAAAACACCGTGATATTTTGGAGTTCTAAAGTCCGTAGTATGCAATTAAAAAGCTCTTCACATAGTAACTGAGCTGGCAGGACCGTGCGGGAATTGGAGCATTAGTTGGATGTGCCATTTCAGGGGTGGTCCCGCTCGGGGTCAGCTTAGGGTGAAAGACATTTCTGGGAAAGAAATGGAGTTACCTGGTGAGGAATTCTTTGTGCAACACACCATTTCTTGCTGTCAGCGCTGAGCCTTTTCCTTGCAGAACTGCCAGCACAACACGGAGGGAGACCACTGCGAGCGATGCAAGGACGGCTACGTGGGCAGCCACGCTGCCGAAGAGCCCCTGCAGTGTGTTGGATGTCCGTGCCCTCTTTCGGTCGCCTCCAACAAGTAAGCACCCTGGGATGGGGCTGCCTATTTAACCTCACTGCTCCACTGCTGGGAACCGTGCTGTGCCACGTCGGGGCACTGGCTCGGCCCTGGCGGGTGTCTCAATGCCAGCCTTGTCCGTGGCCCCAAACCACGTCCGTGGCCTCTTACCCAAGGCCCCAGCAGCCCAGACCGCGTCAGGAGTAACTGCACCTTCCCGTTTACCCCTTATCGTTTCAGTTTTGCCGTCGGTTGTGTCCATAAGGGCTCCAACATGCAGTGCCTCTGCAAGCCCGGCTACGCTGGACCCAACTGTGAGCGGTAAGGGTGATGGCACCCGTGTTGCAGGGGCCTCAGGCGCACCAGTGCCACGCAGCCGCTGCTGTGCCAGAAGAGAATTTGTCTTAGGAAAGACTGCAGGCAAAACGGTTGGCTCTGCTCCCGGAGAGCCCTTTCAGTCCTCCTCAGCCTGCCAGTGCCCTGTTGCTGGCTGCAGAGACACCGTGTTGCCGTGGGTGTATTCCGTAGCTATGCTTTGCCTTAACGTGCAGTCTGCGGTAAAGGCACCTTTCTGAGGTACCACGAGGCAAAACACAAAGTGCAGTGAGATCCCCGAGGGCTGCAGCAGTTACAAACCGTCGTGCGGGCACGAGCTGTGGGGATCCCCCCGCTGCCCCGACTCTGTTTTAACTTGCTGTATTTCTCCAGCTGCGCCCCGGGATACTACGGCAATCCCCTGGTGATCGGCAGCTCGTGCCAACCCTGCGACTGCAGCGGGAACACGGATCCCAACATGCTGTTCAGCAGCTGCGACTCCCTGACGGGCGCCTGCACGGGGTGCATGCACCACACGGCCGGCGCGCGGTGCGAGCTCTGCGCCCCCGGCTACTACGGGGACGCGGTGGCAGCCAAGAACTGCACACGTGAGTGGGGCCGGCAGCAAGCGCTTAGGGGGGGAACGCGGACAGACTGACTGTGGATGCTTTTAGCACCTTAACCGGGCTGTGCATCGCCCCAGTGAGTCACAGGCTTGGTTGCAGACGTTGCAGGCATCCTCTAAAGATGATCCTCATCCTCTAAAGATCCTCACAACTCCGTAATCTCCAATCCACCCCCGAATGCGAGCTGCCAGCCTGCACCCAGGCTAGAACGGCCGTGCCCCAAGCAGCTCCTGCAGCAGTGGTGCCGGCGGTCCCTCGGGACTGGTGTGCGCAGCCCCTTCCAGCGCCGCTCATCTCCCGCTGAGGAACAGCGCCCCAAATCGCAGCTCACAAAAGGGGGTCTGCCCTGGGCAGCTGTCGGGGAAATAAGGTGTTGGGAGGAGCAAAACCAAGAGGAGAGTGGCTCTGTCTTTGCTCTGACGGTGATAGATAAGGAGGAAATAGGATTCCCTGTTGGGAATAAGGTTTGTGAGTGTCTGAGAGAGCTCTTCAGTGTGTAACTGAGTGTACTTTTCCCTGGCAGAGTGCAACTGTTCGCCTTGCGGGACTGACTCGTGCCATCCACGAACTGGCCAATGCTTCTGCAAGACTGGAGTGACAGGCCAGCGCTGTGACCGCTGCGAGGTAAGGGCCACCTGCGTACTGGGACGGTGCCCGTCCTTAGCAGAGGGACGAGGGGCAGTCCCCATGCGCCATCCCCGGTCCCGCGAGCGGAGCGGTGCTGGCAGCCAGGTGGGTCAGGCTGGGTTTGCACCATCTGCAACCACCTATTCGTGGCGAAAGCCTGTTGCAGAGCTGGCAGCAAGCGCTGGAGGCAGCGTTCAGGCGCAGCCTGGGCGGTGAGGTGGTACCCTTTGGGAAACCGCAATAAACCCCTTTTTCCTGTACCCATCCAGCGTGGGCGTCGCAGGGCAAGGGCGGGTTTGCAGGGCAGTGCTGTGGCGTGTCTGGGTTCTTACTGCAGCTCCACACCTTTGCTGTGTTGAGAGGAGTTTTGCAGAGGTCAAAACACTCCTGGAAGGCAGAGCCCGGGTCCCGCGTCGCCTCAGCCTGCCCAGGGAGGGAAGCACGCATCCCCTCTTGCTCAACAGGGCACCCACTGTCCTGCTTTTCCCTAGGAGGGATACTATGGCTTCGAGGGCTGCTCCGGCTGCCGGAGGTGTGACTGCGACGTCGGCGCTGTGGGCAGCAGTTGCGACGCGCAGAGCGGCCAGTGCAGCTGCCTGCCCGGCGTCAGCGGCTCGCGCTGCCAGCAGTGCGCCCCGGGCTACTGGGGCTTCAGCGAGAGCGGCTGTACAAGTGAGTCCTGCTTCCCGCGTCTTGCGCCCTGCGTGTGGAGGAAGGGGATAAGGCATTGGTGGCACGTGTGCTTGTCGAGTTGTTAAAAGTGGAAAACAACCGACTGCCATCTGAGGTCCCGTGCAGGTCGCTCGGTTGCCCGGGGAAACCCCCAGCAGTGGCACGTAGATAAGCAGAGATGCAATTGCACGGCTGAATAAAACCACTCCTTCCTCTCTCTCGGGTGGTAACGGCACAAAATGATGCCGCGGGCATTTCCCTCTTGTTAAACTCTGCAGGGTGCGAGTGCAGGGGCGGCTCCTGCGACCCGCGCACCGGGGAGTGCACTTGCTCCAACGGGCTGACGGGGAAGCAGTGCGACGTCTGCATGCACGAGTATGAGATCCCCGTGGCAAACGGCCCGGACAGCATGAGGTGTGAAGGTCTGTATCCCGCGGTCCCGGGGAAAGAGGTGAGGGAAGCCCCGGGAAAGGGCCTGCGCTGACCGCTCCGTTCCCCTGGCAGTGTGCGACAGCTGTGTCCTGCTGCTGCTGGAGGATCTGCAGAGCATCGAGGCGTCCTTCCCCTCCATCCGCAGTCAGTTGGTCAACCTCAACGCCAGCTCCATCGCCTGGGCTCGCCTCCACGGTCTCAACAGCACTATGGTGACTGTCGCTGTACGTGGAAGGTTTAACATCACTTTCTGCCCACATTTCCTGGCTCGTTGGCCTCATTTCACCTCTCTTTTTTTTTTTTTTTTTTTTTTTTTTTTTTTTTTTTTTTTTTTCTCCCCAGACCCAGCTCCGTGAGTCCCAGCGAGCCGTGAACAAGGTCAGGCAAAGGGCTGACGAGCTGGAGGATGAGAACGTGGACCTCACGCAGGACCTGAACGCGCTGCAGCACAAAGTAGGGTATTTCTCCATCTTCCTTTTCCAGAGCACGAGCCCCTCCTTTTACCTAAAATGAGGGCTTTGAAGGCTGTGAGGAGCCTAGCTCAGGCAGGAGGGACCTCCTGCCCAGCCAGCACTGGGCTTGGGTGTTGGGGTCTCTTACTTAGATGCCCAAGTGAGATTACCCGCATTCCTCCCTGGATGGTTGTTTCTTGATTTATTACTTGCTTTTGAGGCGGCTCCAACTTTAACCAGTAAAAATAAATTCAGTAAAATGTCATTTGTAGAAGGAGCATACGAGGAAGGAACATAAACAGCATCTAGGGCCGTCCTGGATGTATCCAGGCCGTGGCAGGGAGAACCTGAGCCCTGTCAGCCAATGAGTCAATGAGCTGTAGTAGCCCCCGGTGGCCTCAGTACAGCAACGCAGTTTGCAAGATGCAATCTGTATACAGTCTTAAAAGCACCACTTGTGTCTTCAGAGAACTTATAAACTGAGCAAGGTTTGATTTGATTTGATTTGGTTTGATTTGATTTGATTTATAAACTGGCTGCGCCTAATCTAAGGGAGAGGGAAAAGTCTCTACTTGACGTACGTCCCTGGGCGGCTGCATGGACGAAATGCCTCCGTGTCTATCTACACCTACGCTCTGAACGGCCAAACCGCAGCCCTCCATCTCTTCTTGTGTCCTGGGCAGGACCCAGGTGGGCCTGGCTCCAGGCTACGGGGCTTTCGCTGTGTTAAGAGTGCAGGACAGTGCTCTCCTCTGTGGTCTTAGGACTGTTTCAGGATCCAGAGCCTGTTGCGTTGGAGCTGCGTTTATTGCGCGTGCTTCTCTGAAGGTGCTAAATAAGACCATCAATACTTTGACTGTAGGTGAGCAGCACAAGACAGGCTGGTGGAGGAGACGTAGTTCAAGAACCGTAAAAGCTGCGCGTTCCCAAGCCTTGTGTGCCTTTTGGGAACATCTTCCCACTGACGAATCGCACAAAACCACCTCATTCCGCGGCTAAGCCAGTGGTTTTTGTTGTAGATGACAATGACTCACAGAGAAGCAAACCGGATCGAGCAGCACACGAGAGAGACTTACCAGAGGGGGGAGCAGCTCCTGCTAAATATCCAAAGCATTCAGAAAGGCATTGCAGGTAGGTGAAGACGGGTCTCTGCTTTGTGGCTTTTTTCCTGCTGGGAATGCCACGCTCTTGCTTTCAAACAGCACCAAGTACTGCATCACATGGAAAGATCCATGGAGAAAACGAGGGGAAATACAAATGAAACGGAGATCCCTGCAGAATTCTGGCTTTTATTCTGACCAGGCTCATCCTGAGTCCCAGCTGTTTGGCTAAACGCAGTCTTTGGAAAAAAAAACATTAAACTTGCAGAAATGTTATTAAAATGCGTAAAACTGGGGCGATCTGCACTGCAGCTTCCGGAGAGATTTAGCAAACCAGGGAGTGGCTGGAGCTCGGAGAGGAGGTAAAGCCACAAAACAGCGCTTGGGATGTAGCGTGCGTTACTGGTAGCAGCCACAGGGACAGAAACGTGGGGCCATACGTGGAGTCATCCCGGGCAGTTCGGGTGCCTGAGGACTGCGGGAAAGCTGGCTGCGGCTTTTGGGGAGTGATGTAAGAGAGGAGAGATCTCGGGGGATTGTGAAGGGCCTGGGTTGGTCAATGCTAACGGGGGATGTGGGTTTCTCTGCAGACTTGCTGCGGCAGATGGCCAGGTTTGGGGCAGCAAACGCCAGCGCCACCTCCACCGAGGAGTTTCGGCAGAAGATGGCCGAGGTGGAAAGAATGCTGAGGGAGATGAAGGAGCGGAGTCTGGGCAGGCAGGAGGAGCTGGCGAGGCGCGAGCACGAGGAGGCTCAGAAGTGTGAGTCCGACACAGTGGCACAGAATCACAGAATCACAGACTGGTCAGGGTTGGAAGGGACCTCTGGAGATCATCTAGTCCACCCCCCCGCCAGAGCAGGGGCACCTACAGCAGTTGCACAGGACGGCGTCCAGGCGGGTTTGGAATGTCTCCAGAGTGGGAGACTCCCCCACCTCTCTGGGCAGCCTGTTCCAGTGCTCCACTACCCTCAAGGTAAAGAAGTTCCTTCTCATGTTAAGATGGAACTTCCTATGTTCAAGTTTATGCCCATTACCCCTCGTCCTATCACTGGGCACCACTGAAAAAAGACTGCTCCCATCCCCCTGGCACCCTCCCATTAAGTATTTGTAAGTATTAATAAGATCCCCCCTCAATCTTCTTTTCTCTAGACTAAAGAGACCCAAGTCCCTCAGCCTTTCCTCATAAGAAAGGTGCTCCAGTCCCCTAATCATCTTTGTTGCCCTTTGCTGGACCCTCTCCAGCAGTTCCCTGTCTTTCTTGAACTGGGGAGCCCAGAACTGGACACAGTACTCCAGATGCGGTCTCACCAGGGCAGCGTAGAGGGGGAGGATGACCTCCCTCGACCTGCTGGCCACACTCTTCTTGATGCACCCCAGGATGCCATTCGCCTTCTTGGCCGCCAGGGCACATTGCTGGCTCGTGGTCATCCTGTTGTCCCCCAGGACTCCCAGGTCCCTCTCCACAGAGCTGCTCTCCAGGAGGTCAGCCCCCAACCTGTACTGGTGCATGGGGTTATTCCTCCCCAGATGCAGCACCCTACACTTACCCTGGTTGAATTTCATCAAGTTTCTCTCTGCCCAACTCTCCAGCCATGTCCAGCACGGGACAGGGCTACGCAGGTGCTGCTGGGTCGAGCTGTGCCTGAGAGCCTGGCTTGGCCCATGCAGACGCTACGCATCGTGGTCACGTTTGGAGAGTGCTGTTAATAAAACAGGCACCCCCAACCAGTTTTGTAGTAGTTTTAGGGTCCCCTGTGACACTCCATTTTTGATTCCTTTTCCCTTCAGGTGAATTTTAGAGCAGATTGTACTACCTGGGTCGTTTTGTTTGGTGACCAAAAGTGACAACCCTTAAACCCAGGAGTTACCGTTATTGTGGATGTGAATAAGTCACCCCATGTTTGTTCGTATTCTCTGTCCCGGGAAAGGGGTTCAGAGTGCCAGCCAGCAGCCCCTCACCCTCAGCAGCTCTGCCATCCTGGGGGCATCCCTTGCGGGAACAAGGGCTCGGATTGTGCTCCCGCACAGAGCCGCAGCCAGGCACGCTGGCACTGCGGGGAGCGAGCGCTTCTGATTAACAGGCGGTGGCAAAACGTAGTTCAGCAGCTGAAAGCTGGAATTATCGACTGGCTTTTGCTAGAAATAAGTAATTTTTTCACAGCGGGAGTAATCAAGCACTGGAATGGGCCTCGGGTGGGGTTTCTCCATCATCTGGAGCTTTTCAGGCACGGCTGGGTCTTTGTGAAAGAAATCCCGTCCTTCTCACCGGCACTGGGGGTTTGGAGATAATCTTGGACAAAACCCTGTGCTATCCGGGCTGAAAGAGGGAGGAGGGATGGAAGACGGTCACTCCTGGCCTTGATACCTGCCAAGTGAGACCAGAACAAGGCTTTTCCCCCGCCGAGCACGGGAAAAGCCCTTTAACACAGAGGGATGAATTAGCAGCGGTTCTCATCTCCTCCACCCTCAGTGCTGCATCGGGTGAAGAGCGAGCTGCATGCCCGCTGGCAGTCCAACCAGGACCTGGTGAGCAGCATCCGGGACCGGCTGGCGCAGCACAGCTCCCAGCTGATGGACCTCCGCGATGCCCTCAACGAGGCCGTGAACAAAACCAGGCAGACGGAGGACTTGAACAGCCTGAACCGCAACAACCTGGAGGAGAGTCAGGTAGAGCTTCGCCGGGTGGTCCCATACTGCCGTGCAGCGAGGGGGGTCCTGCCCCAGCCCCGCCGGTGCCTAACCCTGCCTCTGTGTGTCTAGCAAAAGAGCCGTGAGCTCCAAAAGCAGCATGCGCTGGTGCAGGAGACCCTGAGGATGGCCAAAGACTCCCTGGCCCAAGTCTCCGACTTCCTGCAGAAGATGGAGAGTGCAAAGGAGGTGAGTGATGGACGTGCTTCGGCATGGGCAGAGCGCAAGGGGGTGGCAGCCCTCCGGAGTGACGTGTGTCCTCGCAGGCGTACGAGAAGCTGGCAGCGCTGCTGGATGGGGCGAAGCTGCCCCTGACTGAGCGGGTCAAGAAGTTCTCCCCAGCCAGCAGCAAGATCCCCATCGTGGAGCAGGCGGAGGAGCACGCCCGGCTCCTGGATGAGCTCGCAAGGAACCTGTCCAGGTGAGGCACCGGTCCTGACACTCACCGGTCAGACCATCTCATACCAGAGCTGGGGATGGGAAGTGCAGCCCCACACCGTGGCGGGGGAGCAGCAGGGTACCGTCTCCAGAGCTTCATCCTGGAGCACATGTTGTGATGAGGAGGCCAAAGGGGTTTGTCTGTGGGGGCATGGGCAAGAGCCCAGCCTGAGCAGTCTCCCTGGGCTTGATGGCTTCATCTTCCAACACAGCATTATCCAGGGCACAAACCAGGACGGCTTTATCCAGCGGGCGATCGATGCCTCCAATGCCTACGCCAGCATCATTGAAGCCGTGAAAAAAGCCGAGCGAGCAGCCCACGATGCTGATGAGGAGGCCGGCGAGGCTTTGATGGTACGTGTTGTGGGGAGCCCCGTGAAGAGGAGCAAAAGCCAACCATGTCCCGCGACAGTCCTCCAGCTTTTCACGCCCGCACGTAGGGCTCCGCTGCCCCTTCCCTCTGACACTTGAGCACTTTGTTCTGTGCCGGAGAGCAGAGCCTCTGCCACGGCTGGGGTCGGACTCTGGGGATTTGGGTCTCCCCGTCGTGCCCCAGCAGCACACCCCGCTGCAGTGGCCTGAACAAGCGTTTCTGTGTGCAGCTGGGGCCGGAGGCTTGAATTCCTCTTCAGAGTCCTAAGCAGCGCGTGTTTGTTTTACAGAGTGTCATATCAGAAAATCTCGGTGCCATCTCTAAAGAGCTGAAGAGGAACAGCAGTAACCTGGAGGAGGCTGTGAGGAGAGAGCAGAGAAAACTCAACGGGGGTGAGAGAGGCTTCTTGCAGGGTGTGATGCCCTTCAGGACTGAGATCCAACACACAACATACGCGTTTCTTTAATTGCAGCTATTAAAGGCAGTCTGCAGACAGCAAAGGACAAGCTGGCTGACCTCCGTGTGAAGAAGGAGCAGCTCCTGAGCCAGCTCCAGTCTGTGCAGGACATGCTGGGCAGGGACCAAGGTTTGTCCTGGGGTTCTCTGGTCAGACTAGTCTGGGCTAGACTGGTTCTCTCTGCTCCTTTGCTCCCACCCAGGCTGTGACCCAAGGGTGCTTCACCCCCGCTCCTGGCCACCCCAGAGATTTTTCTCCTTCCTTTCCAGAGGACACGAAAGAGATGATCCAGAATGCCAAAGCGGCAGCTGCTGAGGCCAACGAAACAGCTGCGAGAGTGGAAGATACCCTGAGCTCCATGAAGAAGAATCTGGATGAGTGGAAAGACCAGTACGGAGACCTTCGAAATGAAGACCTGAACCAGGCAGTGCAGGACGCCAGGAAATCTGGTGAGCACTGCGCTGCCAGGGCCGGGTCTGGCAGGGACAGACGTCCCCAGAGAGCACCATGCTTCTGGAAGCTGTGCTTTGCAGGTCCAGGCCAAGAGTAGAGGGATGTAGCAGCCAGTACTGGGTGCTTTATGTCCTGGCCCTTTGGTTTTTCCTCTCCGTGCGGCGTCTATGTCACCCATATCTTTACTGCAGGAGACTGCATGCGCTAGAGCACTTGCACACCCCCCTGTCAATGCTGCTGGATTTAGGAGGACACTTTGTGACTTTGCTCCCAGCTGCCGCTGCTTTGACTTGCACGTCTCAAAACTGCCCGCGTTTCACATCTCCCTTCCTCACTAACTTTTAAAAACCCCTGGCTCCTCTCCAACCCCAGTGTCCAGCCTGGAAAGCACCATCCCGCTGCTGCTGGAGAAGCTGAGCAGCCTGGAGAACAGGAGGAACAAGAACGCCACCGTGTCGGAGAACATCGTGCGGATCCGGCAGCTCATCACACAGGCGAGGAACGCCGCCAGCAAGGTGGGCTGATGGGGGGGCGAGGGCTGTGCACAGGGTGCCGCGGGCTTGGGGTGAACGAGGGCTCACCTGGGGGAAGTATGCAAACGGGAGGGGTGTCTCCGGGGCCACCAGGCGGGGTCCCTCTCTCATGGGAAGACTCCAGAAAATGCATTGACTTGGCAAAGCCGGCAGTGACGAGAGAGGCGGCAGCAGCGGTTTCAGTGCCACGGGTTTGGATTTCTCTCCCTCCAGGTGAAAGTCCCCATGAAGTTCAACGGCAGCTCGGGTGTGCAGGTCCGGATGCCCAGCAACCTTCAGGATTTGGCAGCTTATACGTCCCTCAAATTCTACATCCAAAACCCCGAGCCCAGGAGCCGGCAGCGACGGCAGGACGGGACAGAGGAAGGGCGGTTCGTGTTGTACCTGGGCAGCCGGGAGGTGAGATGCGGCCGTGCGGGCAGGGGGAGAGCCCATGTTGGTAGCATCAGTGGGGTATCACGCCTGGACGTCAGCCCCGCTGCCCTTCGTCTGCTCCCTGGGTGTCTGTGGGGAGCACGAGCGGGCCCTGGATGCGGCCATCAGTGCGACACCTGTGCGAATTGGGGTGCTTGGCCAGTGGGGGCATCAAGGGGAGCGTTGCCTGGCGCTCCTGCCTGTCCTGAATGCCAACATGTGGCCCTGTCTCTCCCTTCATTCAGGCCACCGGAGACTACCTGGGCATCGTGCTCAAGGACCGCAGAGTGCATTGGGTCTACAAACTGGGCGATGAGGAGCCAGCCTCCCTGACCGTCGACGAGGATATTGGAGAGCAGTTTGCCACCATCAGCATCAACAGGTGGGAGACCGGGGGGACACATCCCAGGGAAGTTCAATGGGAGACTGTCCCTGGAGAGGATGCGGGTAGTGCTGTGCTCAAACCTCGGCAAGCCCTGGGCTTGCAGAGGTGCTGTGGCCTCCACCATTCAGTCATCCCTAAACGATCAACACAGAGATACCTCAAAAAAAACCATCAGGGAGATGGTGTCTTACCGGGTCATGGAGGGTCTGGGGGGTACCTGCAGAAGAAAGATGAAGCTCATCATGGAGGGTCCGTTCAGCCCTGTGGCAGTGCTGATAACATGAGTGCTGAGTCCTTTCAATGCGCTGCTGCTCTGGGGCTCCCCAGTGGGAGAAGCACCCCTTGTTGGCAGGGCTGTGCGGGGAGGCCCTTCGCTCAGGGGTTTGCTCCTCTTTGGGGTTCTCCCTTGTCTTGACCACCCCTCCCTGCTGCAGGATCCTGCAGTATGGGCACATGTCGGTGATCGTGGAGAGGCAGACGGTGCACGAGACCAAGGGAGACAGCGTGGCCAAGGGGGAGCAGGGGCTGCTCAACCTCGACCCGCGCAACGTGGTCTTCTACGTGGGTGGCTACCCTTCCAGCTTCACGGTGAGACAGCCAGCAGGGAGGGAGGCTCGGTTTTCTAGGAGGTATCAGCGATACCTCTGGAGCTTCTTGGAGGGGAGAACCCTCGATTTCATGGGAAAACCAGGATCAGACTTGTCCTAAGTGTCCACTTTCATTCCCAGCCTCCTCCCACTTTGCGCTATCCCAATTACCGTGGGTGCCTGGAGCTGGACACCCTGAACGAGGAGGTGGTGAGCCTCTACAACTTCCAACGCACCTTCCAGCTGGATACCACTGCCGAGAAGCCCTGCGCAAGGTAAGGCACTGCGACCAGGCCTGGGGCGGCTCTGTTCCATGGCGCTTACCCTGACCTTTGGCTGCCCCAGAGCATGGCAGCTGGCTTTGGAGTGATGCCTCGGACCTCTTCTTGTGTGGCTCAGGTCCAAGTCCACAGGAGACCCCTGGTTGACTGACGGCTCCTACTTTGATGGCACTGGTTACGCAGAGATCAAGTTTGAGAGCCAGTTTGGCACAACCAAGCGCTTCGAGCAGGAGATCCGGGTGGTATCCTACAACGGCATCCTCTTCTTTCTGGAGAACCAGGCAGGTGCTTGCTGCCCTGGGGAGCCTTCATCCATCCCTCAGCTGGTGGGCCGGGGCAATCCCAGCCCCACTTGCAAGTGTTCCCAGTTCAGGGCACCGGGTAGAAGAGGGCTTTGGAGATGGCAGTGCTGCTTTGAGCAGTACTTCTGCACTATTGTTGAAAGCCACAAGAGGGCTGGACCAGACCTCACAGCAGAGGCAATCACTTGTCCGGTGCCAGAGGGACTCCTGAACCGGGAGAGCAGCCGTGCACAGCCCCTCTGAGCCGGGCCAGGGCTCATGGGGACAGGCGGTGCCATCCCGGTGCAGATAAATCCCCAATAATTGTCGCGGTTATGCGTGGAGGCACTGGCTGGGGGACCTGCTCCCACTGCTGCTAAAGGGCAGGTCGGGCTCAGCGCCGCGGCTGCGTGCTGAACACCGGGACACGGGGCTGAGCGTGCGTCCTGCCTCCCCCAGGGCCAGTTCCTGTGCCTGGCCATCCGGGATGGGAAGCTGGTGCTTTACTATGACTTCAGCACCGGCCTGGAGATGGCAAAACCCAGCAGCAACTCCTCCTCCCTCACCATCAGCAGCACCACAAACAAAGCGGTAAGGGGGAGCGGCCGCCTGCCCGGCTGGCGTGGGGGGCTCCTCATCCAGAGGGTAGGGGGGACACCCAGACCCTCCTTTTGTGGGAGGGCCGGGTGGAGCTCCAAGAAGTTCTTTGACTGGAGCCATGAACTGGGCACCTGATGCTGCCCTTTGAGGTGGACCTAATTGCCCCAGGCTGGCAGATCATTTTTTCCTCCTCTGTCTCCAGATCCAGATTTTCCTCCTCAAAATGAATAACAAGAAGCGCATCCTGGTGCGGCTGGAGCGCCTCACCATCTTCATGGTGGAGCAGGAGAACTCCCTGGAGAACGCTGTCTCCTACTACCTGGGTGGCGTGCCCCCAGCTGTGCTGCCCCCCAGGTGGGTCCAGCCCACGGTGGGGTGGGACAGTCTACATCTTCCTCTCCAGCATCCCTAGGGGTGGCCCTGGCCTTTTCCCAGCCACTTCCAGGAATATTTGGGTTCTGCTGGAGCTGGGGTGGGGCTTTCCTCTTCCTGCGCGTGATCGTGGGCTTGAGTGTGGGATGCCTCCATCGCTGGTGAGGGATAGGGTGCTTGGTGGGTGTCACCGAGTCCTCCTTTGCCATGCTGGGTACTTTGGAGCAGCCTTGTGCCTGAGGCACTGGAGATACCGGTGGCCACCATGGGTCTTCCCAGACACTGTTTGAAGGGCCGCAGGGCTGGATGCTGCCCAGGGTTGGCCTCGTAACAGCGTCTGCTTCTCCCACAGCTTGAAAGCCCTCTTCCCCACGGGTGGGCCCATCCGTGGCTGCATGAAGGGCTTGAAGGCTCTTGGCAAATATGTTGACCTGAAGCGCATGAGCACCGTTGGCGTGAGCTACGGGTGCACCTCGGACCTTCTGGTAAGCACAAAGCCCCAGCAGCCTGGCCGGTGGGGAAAGAGTCTGTGAGGGAAAGGGACCGCAGAGACCCCCAGGACAGGCACCATCTCCCCTCGTTCACACAGAAACAAGCATAAAACCCCCAAGTCCTCAGTGGGGAGGGGTGACGGTGAGGTGCTCCACATGGTTGGCCATAGCACAAGCCAGACCCAGTGAGGACCTGAGCGCCTCGGTCATCCCCCCAGCACCCCTGCGACGCCAGGGCCAGGCTCTCACCTCGCCTCTGCGGTGTCCCTCACAGGTGGCTCGCTCGGTCAGTGTCCACGGCCACGGCTACCTGACCCTGGCCCTGAAGGACGTGCCGGGGCTGCGGGACTTCTACAGCGGCTTCAGCTTCCGGACCAGCCAGCGCGAGGGGCTGCTCTACCACCACACCACCCAGGTGGGCACCTGCAGCCCCCCGGGGTGTCCTGGCAGTGGGGCAGAAACGTTGTCGTTGCCTGCTCCAGGGATGGCGCTGCTCCCTCTTGGGAAAGGGAGGGATTTTGGTGGGGCCAGGAGCTGAATCCGCAGTGAGATCCGCACCCTGAGCTCCTGGAGGGCAGTGGGGAAAGGGGCCCTTCCTCGGGGTTCAGCTGAGCAGCAATGGGGTGATGCTTTCTGCAGGAGGGGACGTGCCGGGTGTCCCTCCAGAGGGGCCAGCTGGCCTTGAACCTGCTGGAAACCGAAGTCACCACTGAAAACGCCTACGCGGATGACAGGACCCACTACGTGGCCTTCTACAGCGATGCCCGTGGGTACGTGTGCTGGCAGTGCACGGGTGATGGCATGCCGATGGCCACGGGGACCCGCTCAGCCCACGCTGCTCATCTCCCGCAGGGTCCGGCTGTACGTGGACGATGAGCTGCAGGACACTGCGGCAGGCGCTGGGCCCGGCCGGCGGCGGCGGCGGCAGGATGGGCGGCTGCTCTTCCAGCTCGGGGGTTCACCAGAGCCAGGTGCCCTCAGCAACCTCACCGGCTGCATTGGGAACGTCTTCGTCAAGCGGTGAGCATCTCCGTGCCACTTCCAGAGAGCAGGGCTCAGCCCCTTCCCACCTCCCAGCTGGCACGGTGACGGGGACCTCTTCTCCCTGTGTGTTTAGGATGTCAGAGCCACAGATGGTGGTGGACCTGCAGCAGAACGTGGAGAGCGTCAACGTCACCATGAGCTGTCCCTGGGGTGAGCGGCCGCAGCAGCTCAGAGCCACTTCGAAGAAGGACAGGCGGAAACCCAAGGTACCAGCTGCTGCCAAAGCTCCGTGCGTCCTCCTCCCCATCCTCTTCAGATGCCACTGTTGCCCCCTCGCTGAGCACCTCTGCCCCGTGACGCCCGCAGGGATGCTCCCCTCACTCCATTCCTTGGTGCATCTTGCGCAGGTGCCAGGCACGCCTGCCTCGAAGGACCGCCGCCACGATCGGGCTGGGCTCTGCCGGCTGCGCCCACAGCCCCGCGCAGCCACGGGCGCCTTCCGCTTCGGGGCTGCCCCGGGCAGTCGCTGGGAGTTCGAGGAGATCCCGGCCTCCTTTGGCCAGAGGTGAGGCTCGCCCCCTGCTCACCCCACACAAGCTCGGCCATGGGGACCATCGCTCGGAGAGCGGGTGTCTCTTGCAGTTGTGGGCGAGCAGGGTGCTCCCGTCACCCCCCTGTCCCTGCAGGTCCCATTTCTCCCTGGAGGTGAAGCTGAACTCCTCCAGCGGGCTGCTCTTCTACGTGGCGGGCGAGCGGGGCGCCTTCATGGCTCTCTTCGTTTCCAACGGGCGCTTTGTCTTCCTGCTGGACGTCGGCGGGCGCCGGCTGCGCATCCGCAGCAAAGACAAGTACCGCGACCGGCGGTGGCACACGGTGAGCGGAGGGTTGGGGCTCGGCAGGACCTCCCCGAGCCACATCGCTCCCCCCCATCGCTGGGTGCCCGTGCGGGGGTCAGCCCTGCTCTGGGCATCGCTTCCTAATTGCACAGAGGACACCCGCGGTCCCGGGGGAGCAGAGGGGACAGCAAAATCACAGCCAGGGCTGAACCTCCGAGCTGAGGTCTCCCTTCGCTGGACACAGCCCTGAGGCTCCTCCCGACCCGGGACACCCCCAGCCCTGGCACTGACCTTTGGTCCTTGCAGGTCTTCTTCAGCAGAGACCAGAGCCGAGCCCAGCTGGTCATAGACGGGCTGCGAGCCCAGGGTGCTGCAGTGGCCACCGCAGGGCTCTTTGTGGCCCGGACCCCCTTGTATGTGGGGGGGATCCCGGCTGGAAAAGCCAAGGCGCACATTCCGGTAAGGGCTTGATCGTCCCGTGGCATTGCCCTATCTCTGCCAGTTCCCGCTCCCGTGGCATCACGCCGCGCCTGCCAGGTTGTGGCCCCTCTGCGCTCACTCCCGCGTCTCTCTCTGCAGGTTGCGTCAGCCTCCAGCTTCGACGGCTGCCTGCGCAACCCACAGCTGGACGGGAGGCCCCTGGGCGCCCCCTCACGCACCTTCGGGGTGATGCCGTGCTACGAGGGCGCACTGGAGAGTGGCGTCTTCTTCGCTGCAGATGGTGGATCCATCATCCTCGGTACCCCACAGCAGCCCGGGCTGGCTCCCGCGGCCCTAGAGCTGGCAGGGACACGACTCCAGGGAGGTCCCTTGTCCTTCTCACCAGTGGCATTTCTTTCCCAGCTGACGCGGTCGTGACTGAGCAGGACTTGGAGGTGACACTGGAGGTCCGTCCCCGCAGTGCTTCTGGCCTCATCTTCCACGTCGGCACAAGGAGAAGCCACCATCTTCTCCTGTACATGGAAGAGGCGAAGGTAGTGGGAGGGTGGCTTCCCCGCAGGTTTTCAGCGGCAGTGGCCATCTCCTGCCCGTCCCACTCAGCTCACCGGGCTCTAATGGGTTGTCTCACACACCAGGTCACCGTGAGAGCGAACATTGGGGCTGACGAGTTCTCCGCGTCGGTGACGTGCCCGTCTCTCTGCGACGGGCAGTGGCACACCATCGCAGGTGAGGTGACAGCCAGCACTTGGCTCCGGGATGCTGCTCTGCTCCTGCTGCTCCGCCTACATCTCCAGGGTAGCCCGGGGCCCTTCCTCGGGTATTTAAACCCCAGCTCCCACCTGCACTTAATTTGGGAGATCGTAGCTGCCATCAAGCCATTTCCTAATTCATAAGAGTCCTTGCCTGATCTGGTTAGTGCCGTCAGATCTGGTGGGCAGGAGAGACGGGGTTTCCCCAGGTCGCGGAGCAGCCGGCGAGGCCCGGGATGTCCCGCGGTACCGACTCCATCCAGGACTGTTGTGTCCGAAGGGCTCAAAGCCCACGGCTGGGACCAGGGATGTGCGGGAGTCACACTTGTACTCGACCTTTAATGTATTTGCTGTTGAGCGAGTGCTAAGGCCCATCGAGCCCTTCCTGGGGTGGGGGTCACCGCTACAGCCCCCGGCGCAGCACAGCTCTGTTTAAGCCCTCGTCTTGCTCGACCCGTCACGTGCTCCTGGTGCGTTTTCAGCTTCAGGACCTCTCCCCGCCCGTGGCCGGAGCCGATCTGAGCTGATCCCCTACGCCTGGCCTGTGCTGTCCCACCCCGCGGGGAGAGAGCAGCCCAAGAAAGAGACGGTGCTTTGCGGGTGGCTGCTGTGGCCAAAGGACAGATTTTGGGGAGGCTGTCCAGACTCTGAGTGTTTCCCAAGAGCCAGGCCAGGTCCTCTGACCCTCCCAGGAGTTTTGCGCTGCTCCAGCGCTGGTCTGGGCCAGGGAGCGGAGGTGGACTTGCTCTGCGGGTGAGGAAGCAGCACTGACTCTTGTTTTCTTTTGAAGTTACCAAATGGAAAAACATAATCCAGGTTGACGTGGACACAGAGGGCAACTACACAGTGGGACCCAGCCAGCCTCCGGCACCCAGCGCCAGGGCCACCTTCTACCTGGGAGGGCTGCCAGGTGAGCTGGGAGAGATGCTCTCCAGACAAAATACCCCAAAGCCAAGAGAGATGCTGTTCCAGGTGCAAGATAGAGACACCGAGTCCCCTGCCCTGTTATCAGCCGGACTCACGCTTTTACTGTTCCTCCTGCAGAGACAGACAAGGCCAGCACAGTGTCACCGTTACCTCCCCTCCCTCATTACGTGGGCTGTATAAGGAACCTGGTGATTAACCGGAGCCACGTGGACCTGCAGCGAGCCGGGACTGTCAGGGGCTCCGTTGGCCTTAAGGGTTGCCCCGTGCTATAAGTAAGTGCACCTCCGCGTACAGCCTGACCGACAGAAAGCTGCGCTGCTCCCTGGGCCCCAGACATCACCTACTCGATAGCATTAGCCGTGGTCAAACAAACTCGATCTCCAGGGACTGCAGGTGCAAGTCTGGGGCCAAAACCAGAGAGGGGCCACGTATCCAAGGGGAAGGAGGGCAGGGGAGGAAGGTGGGGAGAAGGGGCGCTTTGGGGACATCTTTCACAAATATAACCAAAAAGTTGGAGCAGGATGTGGCGACGGGTCCGAGTCCTTCCCCGGTGGTCAGGCATCTGCAACAGGACTCGTGCTGCGACGGGGCTCGCGGTGAGAGCGACTGTCCTCGCTGCGCCTGGGCTGACGCACACGGCAGCCGTGCAGCGTGTCCTAAATCCTGTTCCCTTTACCCCACATGTACGACGCACATAGATTTAGTTCACAGAACACTTGAGGCTATTAATAACAGTCACAGACTGTCTTCTGCTAAAGGCTGTAGGCAGTTTCTGTTTTATAATAAATGCAATTAGGACAAACTGGATTAATTCCGTCACTTTTGTGTTTTTATAAGCAAGGACGCATTTAACCTCCCCCCAAGGGCAGTCTCAGTTCATCCACCACCACTACACAAAAAGCTCTGCAAGGGGGAACTTGGACAAAATTCTGTTCACAGAATTAGCATCTTCTTATCAGATTAATTTATAAGAATCAAAAAAAGAGGAACATAATAGGCTGGGAGAACTGCTGAGGGAAAGCAGAAAGACACAAATACCGCTCCGACCCTCTGCAGTTCCGTTCCGCCCTGGTAGATACACTGACAAAAGTCCTGTTGTGCGAAGCAAGAAACTGTTGCTTGAAAGGGAAGACGTAAAGAAAGGTGATCAGCCGGTCCGGCTGGGTGCGAGGCGCCGCTCGGCCCTCACCGCCAGCAGTTGCCTTCTCCTGCCCGGCCCCGCTCCCGCCTGGCGCAGTGCAGTCTTCACTTGAAAAAACTTCCTCCCGAGACACCTAGTTCACTTGTGCACTTACACGTCATATATATATTTGTGTGTGTATATATATCGCTAGCCACTTGGGGACAAAATCTTGCTTCTGAAATGGACTTATAACTTATATCGTTATATTGTGGGTTTTTTTTATGAGGGGTAAATATTGTAAAATGGGTTTTTAACATGTCCATCTTAAACCAATGTAATTATGACCTGTTTTTAAGTTGTAGTATTAAAGATGGTCTTTGTAAATGACTGGTACATACTTTGGAGTCAAATAAAGTTCTATGTTACTCTCTTTACTGGTGAAGAGCAAGTATGAGGCTGATGTAGAAGGGGAAAATGAATGATGAGCACATCGGGAAGTGGTACAGCAGGGATGTTGCGGTTGTATTTGCCGTAAGCAGCTCCCCGCGAGCACGGCAGCCACAGGGGTAGCACGCTCTGATGTTCACAAAGGGAAACCTCCTCCTGTTGCAAGGTGAAGTCCTGCACCCGGGACAGGATGACCCGTGCAGCAGTACGTGTGGGACAACGGCAGACCACCACCTGGTGGGCCCCAAAGCAGACGGCAGTCAGCGACGGGCCCTTGAGGCGCTCGTTACTCAGAGGCACAGGGCTCAACCCCTTTAGCACAAGGAAATCAGGCTAAACTAATTCTTCTGATGTCAAAAGCATCAAAACTGAACAGTAAGCAAATAAAGAGTGAGTACTGCTTTCACTGTGCACGTTAAACAGACAGAGAAAGAACAGGATGGCAGATAAAGAAAATTCCTTTATTTGTAGATTTATATAAGCATAATATGAAGTTAGTAATCCTACTGCAGTTGCTTAAGTTAGTATCTAGGAATATCTGTAAGGAAGAGCAAATAACTTAATCTAAACTCATATCCTCCTCTTCGTCTTTCTTGTCCTTAGAGTCTCCTTCCTTTTGGTCTGACTTGACACTGTTCTGCATTGCTTTGGCAAACGCTTCTACATCTAGAAATTAAAACACATTAGTTATTCAACTTTGCACTTTCTGGGATGGAGTTCATTGTCCACATGAGGTTAAGCTTCATTACTTTGAGAGTAAACAGTTGCTTTAGTAAGACTCTTATTAGCAGGGAAGAAAGTTTTAACACTCATTCAATATAACACACATTTGGATCTCTCTGCCACAGCGAACATTTTGTGCACTTTAACCGTGCAGAGGCAGCTGAAGACCAGAATTACTTCAGTAATGGAAAAGATGCTAAAAGCTCATTAGGGACCACTGACACCCCTCCCCTCAGTGCTACTGGCCCCTGCTGTGTTCACGCGTTTCAGATGAATCATTAAAGACCCACAGAAAAGGCATTCCTGGACAAGGTGACCGTAACACCTCCAAAGTCTTTTGCAGCTCTATCAAGAAAACAAGGCCAAAGCTGCTCAGCCCATCCCTCTGCAGATCCCTAAACACACATCTGACACCACAGTGTCTGCTGGGCAACACCTGCGCTCCTCGCCTTTCCACTGTAAAAACAGCGCAAGAGTCAGCGTCTGACCATTGTGCAGAAGCTGATTGTTACAGTCCAGATTCAATAGCTGTGTGCAGTGCCAAAAATGCCCCCCAAAAACCAATGAACAAACAAAGAAAACCCCACCCCAACGAACCACTTCATCGTGTTCCCAACAGCAGCAATACTTACCGCCTTTATTTGCTGCATCTACTGCCTCTGCGGGTAAGCCAAACTGACTCATAAGCGGGCCAAGCTGTCCTGAAGCTAAGGCAGCACTGAACATGCTCAAGGCCTGTGAATCGGAGTCAACAGCGTCAAAAAAACGTTTGGGTTATGTTTCTCCAGCACCAAGTGGCTGCTGTGCAATGGCCGTGCGAGGAGAGCCGTGCGACACGGCTGGGCTGGGAGCAGCCGCTCTCCTTTAGCGACTCCTGCGCTGGGACACAGCCGCCGAACCGCAGGCCCTGGGCAGATCCTGCTCTCGGGAACATTTGCTCTTAACCAGCTGGACGCCAGTGAGCATGACCTGCTAAACCCTGCGAGGCTGAGCAACACACCAACCCACAGCGACGTAACCGCCAGGCGGTTTAGTGCATGGACAACATCACTCAATCAAATCGCCAATTAAAGACTCAGAAACAAGGCGTGTTTTGTCTGCACGAAAGATTTGCCATAGTTTTGACTAAACACTTGTCTTAGCCATGGACATTTTGCAGATGATGACTGCCAAATTTCAATCAATCAGTGTAACTAGTCCAAATTGGCCTGTAATACACCAGCTTTAATCACACACAGACAGTCCTGGAATTAAGTACATGTGTTTCAAGAGAACTGAGGGATGTAGTGCGGTGAGCACGAGCATCTCTTCCCCTCGGTCGCTTGAGACGACCCTTAAGGAGACTGCTGACAAAACACTCTGAGAAGGGAATAACAAATTTGCTATTACTCCCATCATTTGCCAGACAGCATTTATAATATAGAGAAAGGTAAAGCCCAATTCCAAAAGAAAAAGTAAAAAAAAAAATCTGATCTGCCCTTGGGTGACTGCAGGAGGGAAGAACTAGTGCTCCGTTAAATCATGTCCCTCCTCCTTCCCACCTCTACGGAACAACTTCCTACTCCGAACAGGGGCAGGAACCTGAAACAGCAGGGCAAGGTGAATCGGGTCGTATGGGGGTGGTGGGGAGGGGAACTGCTCTTCCCGTGACAGCGAGGCATCTACCTGCTGAAACTGAGGAGACGTCAGGGTGTTCTGAATCTCTTCTGCAGTCTGCGGCAGAGATTCCCCCGAGGGAAGGTAAGGCATCAACCGTTCCTGAACTTCAGCGTTGGCCAGGATGGGAGCCATTATCTCGGGAGTCAGAACAGTTGCCAGGTCAACTAGGACAAAAATCAATGGTCGGCTGTTAGACTATGCACAAAACCCCACGTTTTTGTCTTGTAAACCAAAGGATCTAGTCAGAGGAGTACTGAAACGTAGTTAGCACGCTACTAGCGTCCTTTCTCCCTCTTTCAGTTTTGGAGTGAGAATAATACTCTTGAAGCAGCCAAGAACAGCAGCACTCAAATGAAAAAAAAAAAAGAAAAAAAAAGAACCAAAACCATTTAAGAGACCTTTCAAACCAATTTGGAACAGGATAGGACAGTAAAACAGCTCCAAAGGACTCCTGGATCCAAGGGCTGTCTGGTCAGAACACTGTTACCTTGCTGTCCTCCTGCTCCAGATGGCACATTCATAGTAGCTAAAATGTTCTGAAGGTCACTCAATTGAATGGGCTGAGTTGGGCTCGTGGCTGAGCTGGTTCCATTACCCGAACTTGGTACGGGGCTCGGACTGGTCACCGACGCAGCCGCAGGAACGGACGGGGCAGGCGTTACACGTGTAGAAGAAGTCGTGGAAGATGGCGTGACAGCAGCTGACTGGCTGCGAGAGCTGGAGGAGGTAATTAGTATAATGAATTCCCTGCAAAAAACAGCTTTGCCTCTTGTATCTTAAAAATCTTCTTTTCAAGCCCTTACAATATGAAGAGCTCCTACCTCATTTTAGAGAGGTAATATGCAGCCTTAATTCTCACCATGTTTCCTGTTCAGTAGGCCACGATTCCTCCCACAGAAGTGGCAATTTTATGTTACAAAACTACTACAAGCGCAGACCGGACAGGCGCCATACCTTGACGACGAACTGCTGGTCGGGGGTCCCCCACTTCCAAGCAGACTGGCCAGCCCAGGACCCGTCAGCGCACCCAGCCCACCTTCCGTAAACATAAAGGAAGAACAGGTTTAGAGATCTATTCCTTTGGGGTTTTTGCACCTCTCTACTCTAGAGAGGTCACTCTTGTACCTGAAAGGTTTTATTTGCTAAAATAAAGCAGGAGGGGGTGAAAGAGCCCAGACCACCCCCCCACACCCCTTTCTGTAAATTAACAGCTCTTGTTTTCTGATCTCACATCCCTATTAGATAATAAACTACCTTAGAGAGAGTTGCACATTTTAGAGATGGTTCAATTTCTAGATAGACACACGGATAAATTGACTT